TGCAGAAATTTGCACAAAACGGTGCTCCAATCTAAAATTCCATCTGGGTGTTTTTTAAATGTAAAATTTCAATTGAATGGGCAAATCAATGTTTCTGTCTTTGCTTCCATATTTACAAAAATTTCAAAATTTTTGACTGAAATTAATGTGCTATTTTAAGAAACCAAATTCAAATGAGGTATTATTTGCCATTTTCACAAGTGCATTGGAATCCTTCAGTTCCTGCACATGCCATCTTGCTCTCCTTTAAGACGTACATGAATATACAGGTAAGAGCACAGTTTGGGTTCAGGTACAGGGTCAGCTGTTTGTCCTGCACCCCTGGATCAGTTTTTTAGGTTTTACTGACTTGCTTAATGGCCCAAGGGTGAAGCAACTATTCTGCCGATCACGGGACTTGAACCAGCAACCGTATGACCACAGTCACAGAGGCCTAACCTGCAGTCACACATTGATCAGCACCCACAGTGCTAATGCATCTGCTTTGCTGCTTCATGACTAAGCCTGACTATCTGCGTTCTGAATACTTAAGCTAGTCTGAACTACAGCTAAATGACTTGGACTAACCTGCAGAACCTGTCCTTGAGGTGCACAGTAATGACAGCTGATATCATGATGACCAGACCCACAGAGAACAGCAGGATCTTCAGCAAACAGGGTGAGAGGCCACTAGGGGGTAGCAGAGCGGAGTATTGGACACCTTCAAGGATTTAATATTATCATATTAGCTGAAGACAGAAAACAGCACGGCACGATATATGAACATCTGCATTTACTTAAAAAATTACATTTTAATTTGCAACAAGCTCAGTTAAAGATAACCAAGTTTTTCTCAAAACAAACAGAAAATGTTTGTGGCCGTACTTAATATGGCAGACCTACTCAGGCACTGTTAGATTAATCTACATAATTTTTGTGTTGCTTTCTAAATGTTATCTTATAAACTCAATGTTTTATGTTGCTAGTCGCTATGATATGGATTCTGTAGGTATACCTGGGGCAGCTCATGGGTAAAACTGAAAACCATGAACATCCTGCTGAGCTTTTACAGTCTGCAGTGTTTTATCTGTTACTGGAGATGATCCTTCATCATAGTCATATGAGGTCTTTGCTGGTTTGTCTTGCAGACAGTTTCTGAAAGACTGGATCATTTCCATAACAGCATTGTATGAAAAGTGATAATAATGATAATAATAATAATAATAATCAATGGAAAAAATGGTTATATTTAGTTGATTTTCTCTCCAAGAGAGAAAATAAACATTGTGGCCCAAGGTGATTATAATCCAGTTAAGATGCAGAACTGCTGTTTTTAATTTCAGCACAACATACATCAGCTTCAAACACCAGACAGTTTAAAATGCAAGTAACAGTTATGTTTCAGTGTCCGAATATAAGTAATGATCAAATTCACCATCATACCCTCACATGCATGTCCCAGTGGTTCTGACTGGGTCTTGTTGCTGACCCGGTTACTGCCTGTGCAGATGATGCTTCCATTATAAACAGTGACAGTGATGTTCACATTTGGCCAGGACTGGGGCTCTGTCTGTAAGCACTGGGTTTGGTCACAGGTGTAATAGACCCAGCTGTCCTTCACAGAGCAGTTCACTGACACAGTGCAGAATCCTTCAGCAGAGTCTAATGTCGAATTATTCATCTGTATAATGGGTTTGGCAACAGCTTCTGCAAAGCAGAACCAATGCATGTTTCACTAGACAGGTTATGCTCAGTTTGACAGCACAGCAGAGACAATAATAAACATACTCAAATTCCCTGCTTACCTTGGACATGCAGACGGTACTTGGCTTTTTCAGATTCAGTTCCATTTGTTTCAGTTATTTTGGCTGTATAGGTGCCCTGGTCAGTCTCTTCTAGGTTCTTAATGAGCAGAGAGAAGTCGCTACTGTCAAACTGCATCTTCTCTTTATACTCTGGGTAGTAATGTGGTTTGTCATGCCCCACTGTGTATTCCAGCATTAGTATAGAGTTGACACTCCATGTAATTCTTCTGATCTGTAAACGTTGAAGACCCTCCACTGTGAGATGGACAGATGCTCCCTTTAACTCATAAATGGGAGACACTGTAGGGCTGGAGTCTGGAGAGAGATGGATAATTTTTTAATAAAATGTTACCCTCAGATGATTAGCCAATTACATAATGTACTGAATGCAAGAACAGGCATTTTAAATATATAACTCATATCAAGGGAGAAATATCAACTGGACACATTGCTGGTAGTGCACTCTTCTTAATTTGCACCAAACATTCCTGAGGGTATGACCTTAACTCTGCTACAGTTGTAAGGCTGGAGGCCTTGCAGGCCCCGTCGCTCTGAGCTCTGGCAAGCCTGTAATGTTCCACCCAGTGTCCTGTAGCAAAGGTCCACCGGCTCCGACAAGACTGGACCAAAATCACCCGATCACTACATCAAAAGTGGGCAGCCAGAACCCTGCAGCCAAATTCCAGCGACAAGGCCTGACTGCGTCAAGACTCAGATACATCCTACACTCGCTAACTCACACCAACACAGGAGGTATTACCTCAGACTAACATTAGGGACACACACCCATGTTTGGTCTCGTTTGAATGGTCACAGTACGACGGGCACAATACTCTCAACCTTTAAGCAGTATGTTTTCACATAAGAGAAATATAGAATGTAAGACTAAACCCACCAAAGTGGAGGATCTTATCGCCTGGTAGAACAAAGGAATTGTCACATTCCTCCTAAAGCAATTTGATTGGCTGAGGGTCTGAGAATTGATAAGATCAACAGTTCTCCAGGACACACACACAAGATCAGTGCAGACCCTAAAATAATCAATCACAACCTTTGGTACAGTCTGTCACTTGGTTTGGAATACTTAAGGAAGAGCTCCAGAGTAGCACGGGGAGACACTCTGTAATCAGAGCTCCCACATAGTGCTGCATGAATCTTCATCTGTAATCAGAGCTCCCACATGGTAAATACGCCTGTAGCCGGATCTATTTTGCAGCTGCTCTGTATATCTTTTACTGGGGTATGGAATGCATGTTTCACTAGACAGGTTATGATCAGTTTCACAGCACAGCAGAGACACTAATAAACATACTCAAATTCCCTGCTTACCTTGGACATAATATATACACCATAAATCAACCAACCCACACTCATCTAGTGGGGGGGGGGGGGCACCAAGAACCACTAGCTTAAATTATCCATTCAATACAAGGTTCCTTTGGTCCATGTTAGCGCCTAAAATATTATTATAGGTGCTACTTCTCTTAAAAGGCAAAACTCCAGGTTTCTGAGTTTCCTGTGGGCTTGATGCAGGTCACTGCCACCCCCAGTGCTTTCAGAGCCTGACATGCAGGTTTCTGCACAAACCTCTACTTTCATGTTAGATAACATTTCACCACTGAAGACCCCTAGAAGGTGCCCATCTACCTTCCAGCGGCTGACTGAGTACAGAGAGCCTCTCC